ATATATATATATATATATATATATATATATATATATATATATGTATAAATATATATATATATATGTATATAAAGGCATTTTAAACCCTTCCCACACTCTTGCAATATTCTAAACAATGTTTCTAAACTCTAAACGCTCTAAAAGACACAGAATGTCATGATTTCAGCGCTCTGCCTCTTCTGCTCTCAGCCAACTGCAAGCGCTCTTGGCCACGCCCACTTCTTTGCTCTGCACGGAGAACAGCTGATCAGCTGCAGCAGGAAGCTTATTCTGCAGTAAGGGCTGCACAAAGGTGCAGCAAGTGCTAAATAATTTTAAATAATTTATTTTAAATAAAAAGTCCATGCCGATCGTGCGGCTCATCCATCAATCAGCCAATTGTGTGCCATGTCCAATCTTATTTTGAAAAACTGCGATAGAGGGCGTCCACGAAAAACGAACCGCGAGGCAGCGTGGGACTATTGTACTGTACTCCATATTGGAAAAAACAGTTTGCTGGTGTTAAGATGGCCTCCGGGACCAGCTCTCTCCCCCGTCTACTCCTTTGAGTCAGCCGTGCCAAAAGGGCTCAAAACCATGCTTAAAGCCTTTTGTTGACCTTTTCCTAACATTTTAAATGTGTTGCTGCCATGAAATTTAACATTACCGTAATAATTATACTGTTTTTTTTTGTTTCAACATTTGATGTTTCCTATTTTCCATTGAAATGTAGTTTAAGTTCAAAAGGTTTGCAAATCACTGCGTTCCTTTTACACGACTATTGCTGGAGTAAGGGCTGTAGATCAACGTCTGGTGGTGAATTTCAGTGGTTCACAAACTGAAGCTGTGGTTTTATTAACTGCTGGAGTCTCAGTCAGTGTGATCTAAAGAGTTGTTCACCACTAAATGAAAGTACAACGAGACGTAACGTTGAATATTTCTGAGTTAGCAGAAGCAGAGCGCAGCTGCTGCAGCTGTTGGTGATGAGCTCATCTGGCTGCAGCCTCATAACTCATCTATGGATCTGGGATCTGTTGGCATGTCTGACACCCACAGCCCTGCATTCTCATAACTCATCTATGAGTCTTGGATCTGTTGACATGTCTGACACCAACAGCCCTGCATTCTCATAACTCATCTATGAATCTTGGATCTGTTGACATGTCTGACACCCTCAGCCCTGCATTCTCATAACTCATCTATGGATCTGGGATCTGTCTGCATGTCTGACACCCACAGCCCTGCATTCTCATAACTCATTTATGGATCTGGGATCTGTCGGCATGTCTGACACCCACAGCCCTGCAGCCTCATAACTCATCTATGGATCTGGGATCTGTCGGCATGTCTGACACCCACAGCCCTGCATTCTCATAACTCATCTATGAGTCTGGGATCTGTCAGCATGTCTGACACCCTCAGCTCTGCAGCCTCAT